CCAGCAAGAGTTAACAACCCTGTGAGAACCAGTGGTTTTCTAAAAGCCTCCTGAAGCTGCAGAAGACACAATCAATGAGCTTTATGAAGAAGCTAAAATGTGGGAGAGGGATGCACGAAAACTAATGGTTGAACTGGATTTACTGAGGAAAGAACTCTCTGAGCAGTCCAAAAATCAAGCAACTCTGGATATAGAACTTGCAGCTGCAAATGCAGAACGGGAAGGGTTGAAAAAAGAAGTTGATGGGCTGAAATTATTGGTGGAGAAATTGAATGAAAAACAAGCAGTTCTAGAGGATTCAACAATTAATGGTGAATATGCGATGAACATTCAAAATGAGTTGGAAAATGAAATTAAAGTTTTGAAGGAATACAATGCTAACCTGGCATTGCAGTTGAAGGGGAGTCAAGAAGCAAATATTGAGCTCATTTCTGTTCTTAAGGAGCTTGAAGAGACCACAGAAAAGCAGAGGACTGAGATACACAATATTTTGGACTTGCAAACAAGATTCAGTGACATGGTAGATTCTATCCGAGAGAAAGATGAGGAAAGAAAGAAGCTAATGCTCCAGCTGCAACAATCACAGCAATCAGAGAAGGCCTTGCAGGCTCAGGTGCAATTTCTGGAACAAGCCTTGGAGGAACAGAACAGGACCATCCATAATACCGAGAGATTGACCAAGCTGAACTTTCACAATACTTACACTGAAACAGAATACAGACATGAGTTATCCGCTAAAGAAGAAGAAATCTTCAGTTTGAAAGCAAAATTATCTAAGTTCATAAAAGATGACGAAGAATTAAGTTCTGCAGAAATGGAGTCTAAGAATATAGGTGATGCCAGTCTGATAAGGGAAATTGAATCCCTGAAAGCAAAACTAGAGGAGCTAGAAAGAGATTGCGATGAGCTGACTGATGAAAACCTAGAACTCTTGTTCAAGATTAAGGAAAAAGTGGCAAATTCCCAAGATGAAAAGGAATCTAGCATGAATTATATGGGAGAGAAGATAAAAAGGAAAATTAGAGATGATTATAATCTCTCAATTCAAGAACTTGAGAGTTTGAAAATGGAACTAGAGGCTGAAGTAAAAAAGCTAGATAAGGAACTTGTTCAAAGAAGGGCTGAGATGGAAAAACTTGAGGATAAATTGCTGTCAAAAGAAGAGGAAAATGTGGGTCTTAGACAGTCTCAATATGAACTGCAAGTAAAGTTCTCAAATCTTCTAAAAGATAAAGTCCTACTAGAAGAAAACATGGAAATTGCTCAAAGAGAAACTGATGTAGCAACCAAATGCTTGAATGAATTGCGAAGGGATTTTTCTGTGCTCAGCAGCAGCATGGACTCGTACATTTCTGCGAATAAAAGTCTAGAAAGGAAATCTTCAGAGTTAGAAACTGAAAAGC